AGCACTGTCCAAATTCCAGCACCACCGCCCTCAAATAGGATTAATGAAGACTTTGAACTTGTCTCTTTCCACTTACTTCCTCCTCTACTCTGTCCTGCCCACTTCACTAGGTTAAGATATCAAAATGCCTACCTAACCATTTCATTTCTCCCCTTATATGTATATGGTGCAGGGTTCTCTGGATCGCATACACAGAACTCATGATCTTAGCCCCGCCGACCTCTTCTCATCACTTAACACTCCCTGCCCTGGACTTCCCACTTGGCAACTCCTTGCGGTATATCACTGGCCCCACGCCTCCATGCTTCCACCTGCAACATGAAAGCATCCCTACTCCTCAACCATATGCGTGATCCCTGCTCATTCCTCAACACACAGCTCAGGCACCACTTCCCTAAGAAGTCTTTTCTATTCTTTCCCATGCCCTCTCTCATTTTCAGGGCTTGAGTAGATTCAATTCTTCCTTTAATCAACCAACAAGTATTAATTGACTAATTCCCCTTTGCTAGGCACTTATATATTAGGCACTCAATGTGTGTTGAACAAACGAATGCACATGTGGCAATGAGTTAAAAGTCCCTGCTTTCACAAAAGTCAGAATTCTCTCAAGAATGTAAGTAGCATGGCTAACAGAGTTAGTGCTTCTTACCATTATTTTTAATGTATCAGTCTCCCACACTATACTGTGAATTTCTTAAGAATAAGATTTTGTCTTTTTCATTTATATACACTTGGTATGTATCTAGCCCAGTGTTTTTCACACAGTAAGCACTCACTAAAACATCCATCCAATGGGTGAAGAACACTACTGCATAATTAGAGGTATATTTATTTGACTATTTCCTTAAGTAAACTGTGGACTCTTTTAAAGTTTAGGTTAAGAAAAGAAAAAATAAAATACTGCATAGTTCTGTGTGGTAACAAAAAATGACTAATGTTAAGTCAACAAAATTTAATTAGACAGAAAAGAGTAAACCAAAATTTTAATTCACATTTTAAAAAGAAATTAAATGTAATTCCAAAGTTAAAAAAGACAGAACTCCCTACTCTTTAATTTTTTTTAAAAAATCTAATGACACAGAAAATATTAGATTTATATACGTACAAGGTCTTAAAGATACACAGAATGTCAAGTTGAACTTTACAGGTTGCCTGGTGCTGTCCTTTTATTTAATCTTCATTCTTTATGGAGGGACTTCCCTGCACTTAAGAAACACTCATTCCTATCAGTGAACTGCCTCTCTAAAACTTCTGGGTAAAAATCAGCTAAGAGATCAGTACCAGTCAGTGAGAAGGAGAGTGAGGGGCTAGTATGGGCTTCTCGGATCTAGAGCAGCACTGAACAGCTTCTCCAGTTAAAGCATTTCTTCCTAAAGGCAAAGTCTGATCTGATCCGATTTTAAAACTTCAACAACAGGACTACCGTCTTTGCCCTTCAAAGAGCTTCAGTAAAGCCAGCTGCTACAACTGTGGGAAGAGAAGCCTGGACGGAGACAGCAATCTAAATGTCAACTGTCAGCGGGTGGAGGAAAACGGGGACTGGGGAAGGCGTTCGTTTTATTTCACAGTACCAATATCACATCAGTTTTGTTTCTTTTTTCCTAGCTCTCCTGAAAGACAGCTTTCCAATTCCTTCAAACATGTGAAACCCAACCTTTACTTTCTTACTGGCTGCAACATCTGGGCTCTAAATAAAGAGGAACAAAATCAATGTTTGATCACCATTCCACGAGTCTCACACGTTAGGGTTAAGAATGGCCGCAACTGGGGCCCAGCACTCACAGCAGAAACATGCTAACATTCTTGAAGTGACTCTCACAGGAATAACGGGTGCTGGGGATGCCTACTTCTCCAGCTGAGAATCAAAGTACTAAAGGACAACATTAGACTTAAATCACTTAAATCCTGTTTTATAAGTTGCTAGATTGTAGAATCTAGAAACCTGGACTGTAGACGTATGGGGGAAAAGGAAGAATAAACTTTATACCCTCTAAATATTACACGTGCAGTAATGTTTATTTTCTTTAGAATCTTTTTAAATCTTTATTTGTGGTAATATACGCATAACATAAAATCTGCCCTCTTAACCATTTAGAAGTGAAGAGTTCAGGAAAAGGACATTAACATTGTTATTCAACCAATCTCCAGAACTGTTTTCATCTTGCAAAACGGAAACTCCATACCCATGAAAAAGTGCTCCATTTCTCCCTCCCCACAACCCAGGACAACCACCCTTCCAGAATTTCTCTCTATAGATCTGACTCCTCTAGACACTTCATGTAAGTGGAGTCGCACAGTATTTATCTTTTTGTGACTGGATTATTTCACTCACCATAATATCCTCAAGGTTCATCTATGTTGCACTGTGTCAGAATTTCCTTCCTTTTTAAAGCGAATAACATGCCACTGTAAGTCCATACCACATTTTGTTTATGCATTCATCTACTCATATACACTTGGGTTGTTTCCACTTTTTGCCTGTTATGAATAATGTTGCTATGTACAAATATCTCTTTGAGACCCTGCTTTCAAATCTTTTAGATAAATACCCAGATGTGGGATGGCTGAATCATATGGTAATTCTATTTTTAATTTTTTGAGTAACTGCCATAATGTTTTCCATAGTGGCTATATCATTTTACATTCCCACAACATCCTTGCCAATACTTGTTATTGTAGGTTTTTTTGATAGCAGCCATCCTAACGAGTATGAGACAGACAGTTCCTTAGTAATTTGTACATTTTCCAAATTTTCTATAATGTCCCTGTATTATCTTATTAGAAGAAAATGCTGTGAAATGCAGTCATCAATCATTAAAAGTGATCACACAAATACATATTTATGAATACAGAATGATCTTTACATATAGTCTAAATTGTTTTAATGTGCAGGTTACTGTAAGAGTTATATGAGACTATGTATGCCATCACCTATGTTTGGGGAACTACATATAAATATATTAATATAAATGTTTTATACAGACTTAGTGGAATGTGGAAAGGAATACAAAAATAATAAACCAGAATATTAACAGTAATTGTCTCTGGATAGTGTTAATCCAAGTGATCTCAATATTTTTCTATTTACTTTCTGACTTTTATCCAATGAATATGCATGCCTTCTAAAATGAATAACAACAATACAGGGGGGTTAACCTCGTATCAGGTAGCTAAATTGCTATGGGCAGCCATGTTGCTGTGGCCTTGAACTACCACTCAAATCTCTAAGAACACTCAAGCCAGGACAGATCAACTATAATCCTATTGTATAAATTCCACTTTTAGTACCTAAGTGCTGTGAGGGCTCTGTTTTGGCTAATATTATGATAGGTGCCAAAATCTGGAAGATACTATAAGTTGTTATCTATACCCTATAACCCCAGAATCAAGAAAGAAGAGACCTACAAAACAGTCTGACCCTGGACATTTCTTTCTTGGGCCATCACTTCTGTTCTGGCTTCACTGTCTACCCATTTAGCCTGGAACCTGGGTTAGTCTTTGGAGAAATGGATTCATTACACATCGGCTTCCTTCTATTTTCTCTAATGGCATGTGGTCATAGCAGTTGGCCTCTCAAAGAAAGGACCAAGGTAAAAAATACGAGAGAACACAAAGTGACCCTATTCTTATCAATTTTTCAACGATTCTCAATGGCCTGCTGAACAAGGGACATCCCCCTCAGTTCTGCAATCAAAGTTCTCCAATATATAGTCTCATGTTACTTCTCCACTGATTTCCCAACTGTACTCCAATGAACACTAGTGGTCCTGAGAAGTTACATGTGGGTTTCTAGGAAGACTGAAGTGGGCAGTAAGCTGTCGGGACACCAAACTTCAACCAGAGCAGCCCCACTTTTCCCTAACAATGGAAAATCCTTTGATAAGTTATGTCGCACAGAGAAGACAGGATGTTATTTAGCCATCAAAAAGTACATTTCACAAGAACATTCACTGATATAAGAAACCGTTCATGATGGTAAATGCTATATACAGCATTATACAAATTCTTATATATTCTTATGTATACACAAATTCTTAAAGTATGTAATTGATCTAAGAATCAACATTGTCTAGAGGTGCCTGAGTGGCTCCATTGCTTAAGTGTCTGACTTGATTTCAGCTCAGGTCATGATCTTAGGGTTGTGAGATGGAGCCCCGGGTCAGGCCCTGTGCTGAGCACGGAGCCTGCTTAAGATTCTCTTCCTCTCTCTTTCTCTGCCCCTCTCTCCAACCCCTCTCTTAAAAAAAATTGTCTAGAGGAAACACACCCCAGTGTAAATCACAGTTATGTAAGAATGACAGATTTATGGGTGCCTTTTAAATTTTCCCCTATCAATAATCAATTTTAAACGTTTATATAATCTTTCCTCTTAAACTGTTTCAAAATGTTTCTTTTAAAAAAAGTATCCCTTTTCTTTAAAAATATAGTTCCCCAAAGCCTTTGCTATGCATCTTTCCCTTTCTAAAGCCCAGAAAGTGATTGATCAAAACTTACTCACCTTTGCTGGAGACTTCCCAGACTAACATCTGGTGGTTGCAAGCAGGGATAGAAACAAGATAGGCTGCTTGCCCCAGAGGTTTCAAAGACAATGAAATCAAAATCAAGGGGAAGGGGGTGGGGGCGGGGAGGGAGGCAAGCAGAGCAAACAAGCAATATCCCTTCAGGGAAGATGCATGTGCCAGTGTCTCAGTGTTGATCATCACTGCAATAATTCTCAAGTTACCTGCCTTAAAAAGTCCTTCAAGGTTAATCTTAGCAAATTGTCAACAACTTGTAAGAGGAAAAAAAACAAAACAAACAAACAAACAAAAAA